AGCATGTCCATATACTCTAACATTACACACATTTTTCTCAGCTAAACAGGGATTTTAGCAGTGAACAATCCCATGCCTAGAAATTTTACATTTGCTTGCCATCACCCAAACTTGGTAACACTTAACTGTTAGCTGATGGACATATAACTTTTGTCTTGTTCATGAAGGAACCCAAGGAAAGGAATTACAGAAAACTACAGACAGATAAAATCTGATTTAGATTACTTTCACAACCTTAAAAAATAAATAAATAAACAAAAGGGAAAGAGAAAAGTAGGATCTTACGTTTGCTGATGGGTTAGTCTTCAGTATTTGATTTTCCAAAGAAAGGAGAGGTTAGGATGACAGCTGTTCGCTACAATTCCTTCTATATTACAAGAGCTTAACTCTCCCACTGACTGGCTGGCCCATTTCTGTTAGCTTTAACTCAGGAGAGTGCTCCTAAAAGCTCCTCCTCTTGACAGCATCTGTCTGGATACTTCCTTCAACAAGTAGAAACAAGGCTTTCCACAGAGCCATTTAGGTACTGAGAATGAGCTACAAGTAAGGAAATGATTAGAAGTAGAAATAAGTATTTTGATGGCCAAGTCCACAATCTGGCAGAAAAAAATTCATGCCCACTAACACCATCGGCTTTACACCAGAGCAGTCACATCTTCATAGCGTTACAAATCAAAATGACAACTTCTCTGACAAACAGCAGCTTGAATGACACCTAAAGACTAGAAGCCAAAACTCTGAAAGCATACACCTCCTAACCAAAGTGTACAACCCCAGCCACTCCCTAGGATTAATGCAACATCACAGGCTTCACAGGAGGTGTAGGGTTCATTACTTGTTTCTTACCAAGATTTTGTATTTATACAATTAAAAAAAGCACTGGTGAAGTACCCACAGAAGACCATGTATAACAGATAAAAAGTATCTAAATATATACATTTCAATTAAGGATGAGTCAGAAAGCAACTGCTCATTCTAACAGCTGCCTGATGTAAACTCAAAATACTCACCTTTTCCTTGGCACTTGTAACAGCTGAGGCAAATCTACCTTCTGTTCCCAGAAAGGCTGCCTACGGCAGATACTGTATCATAGCAAATGTACATCTCACAGTACTGCAACTCTATTGCCAGTGAAAATGAGACTGCTTTATAACCGTATTTGCAATTTATAAGCTCTGTGGGCAATATGCCAGTATGTTCTCTTGGTCTGGACACAGCCGCCTAAACAGACAATGATCAAGTAGTGAGACCAGACAAATAAAAGATGGAAGTAAAAAGGTCTAAAAATTAGGTCCAAAATACATATACTAACATACTTTTTTTGTGGCTTACTCTCAGCTACTGATCAGCACATTAACCTTATTTTCTCTGCATGATCGCTAAGCACCACACTAAAATTAGGTCAGAAATTCAGATCAGATCAGCTGACTCAGCCCAGCAAGATCAGACAAAGACTAGTTGCCTTCCTCCCCCCCCAATCCAATACAATGTGTTTATTTCCTGCAACATACAATAGATCCATACATTTTTTCCCCACAATTAACCTATCAGAACCACACATGATGAGGCAGCAATCACATGGAAGGTACATCAGTGCTGCTGAAGGAACACACGCAACTTATCCTTAAGAAGGCAAAATGTACAATCAAACAGCTTTTCTTTTTAGGTCATTCGTCAGATCTTGTTTCCAAACTGCTCAGACTAATGCATTTCAATGAACTTTTAAGTCATTCAGCATGGTTATGAGATGATTTAGGTAAATAACAGCTGTTTCCAAATAGTGTTGTGTGTGAATACCACCACTTTATTAGATAATAAATTACTCATTATTATGTTGTTAATATACATGATCAGCCTTCTTATAAAAGAGACCATCTGAATATTAAAATCGAATAGCTTCTTGAAAAATTAAATAAACAGACTATTAGGTAATTTTTGGTAGGTGCCAAAGACTTATAGCTGCCTTATTTTGATTCCCATAAGCAAAAAGAGAGTGTTTGCTGAAACCCCCTCTCCTGCTCAAAATCTACCTGCAGTTAATCACAGGGGATGACTCCCTTGTTGCTAAGGAGATAGTTTTCAGCTGTCAGTATTCTCCAGACTGGTAACTCTGTTACCACTGCACATGTGCATCACTTGCTATCTAGGCCATGCTATCAGGAATCAGGCATAACACAAATACCCACCAAGATAAGGTAAAGACGTAAGGAATATAGTACAGAACAAAGAAGGAATCAGTAATCCTACTTTACCTTTTCTGACTGCTATGTTTCAATAGACACCATGGTATTGGATGAAACTCCGGAGGTTACTACAGGGAGCAGACTCAACTGCCATCAGCCTAAGTGACTTCAGACATCATGGTTCCTTTAGTTGAATCAATGTTCTCCCTTGGTCTGCCACTGCTTCTAGTTTCCCTTACAAAGTACGGATCACAAATAGTTCATCTTCCCTCTCCAAGTTTACACAGCAAACAGATGGTAAAAGAAACTTGAAGACAGCATTTTCCAGGATTTCCTAAGGTGTTTCATCAGACAGATATGATTTACTCCCTCAATGTTACTGAGATAAGCCAAGTGGGGAGAGAGTAGAGGGGACCACCATAAACATGGTTTCTCACAGAAGAGCACTGTATCAAAGAAATGTTGATGCCTCCAATCCACACACATATACATGCTGTTTCTCTGATAGACTCACTATATTGCTGGTAATCTTCCTTGTGTCTTCTGATTGAATGTGACCACCAGAGTTCTGTTTTCAGTGATCTCAGTTTAGCATGAGCAAGAATTACATGGTTTGGCTCAGCCCTAAATCATCTGCACTTACTCAGAGCTCTTCATCAAATCATTTTACCAAGATCAATAAATAAAACCATATAAACCAACCACAAGGAAGGAAATACTACTACCGCCATTCAAATTAGGTAGAGAAGCTTCAGGAACCAGATAGGCACACAACTTACCCTCTGCCCAAGAAACCTGTTCTGCCACTTAGTGACCTTTATGGTCACATGTAGAAAAGTGCATGCAAACAGGTCAGCCAGAGCACAGCCTAATTAGCTGTCAACTCTGAAGGCTGTATTCTAAATATATCTGTATCCATTGACAGTTTAACACAGTTTATCATCAAAGGAAGAAATTATCACAAGGAATGGGGAATATATTTTTTCATCCAGTTGTAAATTAATGAAATAGTTATGTTTCAATAAATACAAAATATTTGGAAATTTATATCTTTTTCCTCAGTAACAGCCAGCAGTGTAAGATGAGAAAGTACTCTTCATCTCACTACTTTAAAACAGCAATTTATTGACTAGCACTTTTGTATGTTCTTACTTAACACGTGACACAGATTCACATACTCGCTCTGCTTAATATAACTAGAACTTAACTTCCCTCTCTCTCGTATTAAGAAATATTTTCAGGTAGGTCTCCCTACACCTTTTTCTTCTTAGAAATGTTGCAGTTTATGTTGCTATTCAGTAGTCAGAAGGAGATGACCACTAAATAAAGATGGCAAGAATGAAACCTAATGTGTATCCAGCACAGATAAATAAAAAGGAAACCCCAAATCCTCTTGCATTAACCTACTACAAGGAAAAATATTTTCTCTCATGAAGCTATGTATAGTATAGCTTCTGCTACAAGCATCCTATGCCTTTGACACCCCAATAGTTTGAATCCCCCTAAAGATCATCCAAAAGCTCAGCTGACAAGAAAATAAACAGTCCAGAAGGTACCACAATACACATTGCATGGGTTTTCACTATTCACCTGCATTTCACATTATTCTTACACACACACACACACACACACACACACACACACACACACACAGATCCCAATTAGTGACAATCCAAAAAGATCTACTTCCTGCAACATAAAGCAGCCATAATTTTGTTTTACATTGCTGCTTCTCCCTCCTGTGACAAACTATGTTCTGCTCTTTTTCCTTTTCACATTCCAGCAAAATTACCAGAGTACAGAGCACAGCACAACATGTCTGTTATACCTGAATGTACAGCAGCCAAGAGAAGGCATTAAATTTAATCCTTTAAACTGAAATACAGAACATTCATGCTGGAGTCAAACAAATCAAAGGACCTCTTTACCAGTTTGTGCCCAAGCCAGCCATGTATAAACATATAAAACTTTAGCATTCAGATGGAAGATCAACCTGTATTACACAATTTGTACCTCTCCTCAAGAAAATGTATTTTAACATATGCAAATGCGTGTAGAACAAATACTTATATTTATCCCATTCAACCTGCTTTTCTTCTGTGAGAGGCTGCAGAGATTTCATTGCTATCCATCGGCACAAGAAGCCAGGTCATGTGAACGTACCTCTCATTAACTGTCAATTAAAATCAATGGAATTGTTCAAGAAGAGCCATTATAGGGTTCTGCCCATCAGGGGCTTGATCCATTTTCCTTTAAATGGTTGCAGTATTTTTACTGACTTCAGAGCAGGCAGAATGGTGAGGAAAACATAAATAACAGATATTTATTTATTTATTTATTTATTAAACATCAGACAGCAATTTTAAAAATTATTAAATTTGAAGCATCAACTCAAGGAGAGTCTATCTTGAATCTATGAGGCTGTCCTTGCCTTGCGAGAGCTCATCTTGGCACACAGTACACAACTGTTCATCTGAAAGCTTCTAAAAGCGCCTGTTTTCCACTAGAGTTGCATATCCTGTTCCAAACACCAGAACTTTTTGTTTGTTTGAACCACAGCTCCTGAAGATGCCATACATGCTCTAACTGAATATATTTGGATGGGAACACTCTCTTCCACCAAGGGAGGCAGAACTGTTCAGTATCATGTAAAGCACATGTAATTAGTAGCCTAACATGAGCCAATACTCTCTGCTGCTTTTACCAGCAAGCTGATTTGAAATCAATAGGTCTACACATATTCACCATATCTGAGAGCAAACCCTTCACCGTGCATTCACTCTGCCACACCACTCATCTTTTTATCAAAATATTTACCGTTTTATTGCTTCTTCTTGTTTTCGGCGTTTTTCACTCTTTTCTTTCAAGTAAGCCAGGTTTGTCTCATTCCTCATGCGATCATTCTCTCGAGCAATGTCTGATGCATTCTGTATAACCAAGCCATCATAGGCCTTCATCCCCATATCTTCAATATACTGGAGAAAAGCTCCCAAAGTGACCTCCTCCTGATTAGAACTCATCATCTTGCAGGAGATAATGAACAAAGGAAAGCAACGTTTCCTGCAGGTTGAAAAACACAGAATACCTTAATCAGTAGGAAAATAGATTATGGTTTATGACAGAGAGATTGTGTCAATTGCAATTAACATCTCTGTAAGAGACAATTTTTTAGACTTTCTCCTGGCTAAAGATAATAAACAAAGCAATCCAGAACACAGAACAACATTACTTGAGACAAAAGGAGATAAGACCCAAAAGTCCCTTTTGCAAGTGGTGCAGATTCATCCATATACATTGCTCAAATTCCAAACAAAAAGATTTTCTCCCACTCCTTGCCTTTTTTTAATACTCTTCAGTTACAACACCACCGATCTCCCTGGATCTCAGTTTGAATTGGACTAAAAAGGCTTACATCCCAGGATAGCAAGTCCTTTTTGCAGTTTAGATAAAGCTGTACTAGAGCACATCACTAGACAAAACCCCTATTATCCAGGATGTTCTAAAGTTCAGGTGGAAAATACTGTTCCATGGTTTGGAACAAAAAAGTTCAAAATTTTTTTCAGGTTCAAAAGCCAGAGAGAAATATTGTGAAATAGTTTCCTGTGTTTCTTAGTAATATAGCTAGGAACTCATATGTCCTGGTCATCTGTTGTCCGACACAGTTGTTGAAGCTCAAAGAACAGATGAGAATTCCCAGCTAAGCTGGGATCTTCAGAACTCTAACAGCCCTGAATTCTCTAGCCTTCTATATTTCTTCCACAGGTATGACAGACACTTGGGCACAGACACACTTAGATCCTGGTCACTCCTGGCTCCATGGCAGGCAGCCTAAAAGCTCTCAGAAAGGCCCCAAAGGTTTTCTACTCAGCAACAGACACCCTGGGAATTGAACCCTGGTGTCTAGACATGGGTAAATGTGACAGGTGACTAAATGTGAGGTATAATTTCAAGAAACATAGCTAGCAAAATTCTGTACCACTGCATTGACTACTTATTAAACAAGTAAAACAGAACTTTAAGAAAACAGAATTGCACCATCTTCTTATTTTAAATACTGATTACTGTAAGGTCCTGAGACATATGATCCTAAGTGACACCATCCTCTCACAGGCCTGTGAGCAGGGTCCTCATCTTACAAATGAGTCAATGCAGAGCATAAGTGAGTGACCTGGCAGCTGAGCTCAGCTCTCAAAGGCAGGTTTAGCTTCTTCACTACTAGAGCATCCTTCCTTTCCCTGAAGAAGGATGGTGTGACTTCTCGGAATTTGCCCAATAATCATGCCAGCACTGCAACTAGAAGTGATCTTACTGAATAGGCAATAAGTATCTGTCTGCACACAGATTTTAGGGCAGAGTCCCTGTGTAATCAGCAAGAAAAATCTTTCCTCTGTTTCCTAGTATACTGCCACATTTCTAATCTTTATTACACTGTTAGACAAGCAAAATTCTGACCAGGCCAGGCAATGATTAAAATTGAAAGAAAAATAATATTAAAATATCTTATACTCTATCAATCCACCCTGGGCCTTCAGACACAGCCCTGAACATGAGAACAAAACGCTTTTACATCCATCTGCAAGGATGAAAAGGAGAGAAATATATGTCCACCTTTTAAATTTTTCTTCCCCATTGATTACCTGAATCAACAACAGCAACAAGCAGGTAGTTTCAGGCAGTTAATACTTTAAAAGCACATCAATATTTTTTCCCTTGCTCTCCATATCAAAATTATTTCTGTACACTGGTAACGTGACTGTTAAAATAACGAAGATTCAGAGGATGCAAAAGGTCTGCTCCTATCACCTCTTCTGCTTTCCAAGACATCCTTTTCTATCAACTAAGCCTGAATATGAGTGTAAGGCAGATGATCAGGGTCACTAAATTGATCTAAAAAGTATTTTCAGGCATGGGTATAGGTATTTCCTACTAATCCCTGAAGGGCAAAACCAGTGAGTGAGGTCTTACAGCATCCCAGTGTGTGTGCATGCATGCAATTTCACACAGCTTTCATGTTGGAAGTAGCTAAAACTCCACTGGCTTGCAATATGTATTGAGCCATTCTATGTATTTACCGTAAGTGGCACCGTATCTGCAAACAAGTGAATTGTGAAGCTGAAAATGAGCTAAACAGACACTATCAATGTTACTGATGTTTCAGCAGACATCATTTCAGACCAGCTCCTAACCTCTCTGATTACGAAGAGTAAGTCCAGATACCATAGTCCTTTCCTGGAAGTCTCTGCCTACAGCACAAAGCCTACCTGATTAAAACCAATGCTAACAGCATCGAGAGCTCTAACTTCACTGTCTCCAAACTTTTCATATGGTATTTATATATGCTTTCTGATGTTAAAGTCTGGGCCATTTCCCCAGTAGATGGCTATTTCACTATATTTTCCATTTTGGACTTCTAGTAAAGCCTAGTTTCTGCATGTTGAATTAAGTTCAGATAAACCTGGACAACAGAGATACCCCACCCTAGCGACTTTCATGGCAGTTTTACCATTATTTCTCCAGGGACCAGATTTTACTTCTGAAATATAATATGAAATTTTATACTGAAGAAAACTTCAGCAGGCTTTCAATAAATGCAGCTCAGATTCATTTTCCCCCAAGACATATACAACTTGATCTGCTGCACACTCTCTTTGATGACAATACTGCATATTTTTTTCTCATTTTTTCCCTTTCTGAGGCCAAAAATAAGCTGACACAGATATGCTGCATCTCCTTTCATTATGATAGTTATTTCTCATATGAGAGGATAAAGTCACTCTAATTGCAAAAAAGATTGAATAAAATGCCTTTATTCTGCTGCATGCACTGACCAGATACTTTATATGCTGGTTTATCACTGATGTTTTCTCTTACTGAAGTCAAGCAGAATGGCAATAATTTACACAACGTTTAATAAACAGATCAAGATATACTCTTTGTCCTAACAGGGGTCCAATCCTGCAATAGAACTGAGCAACCGTAGCTACTTAGCTCCTGTGACTACTGATGCTCATGACACCAAATTCAGTTTGGAGTACTCCCAGAAGGGATTGAAGGACTGTCAGATATTTCAAAACCTTGAATCAGCATTTATGGCACTAACTTTGAAAAGCCTCTATAGCAGTAGCAAGCATTTTCTAGTTAAAACCTCATGTATTTCCTGCCTGCATGTTATTTTACAGCGTCACTGCATTTACTAATATTGTACAATTGTGGGTGCTATGCTTAAATAAGGAATAAAAATTCAAACACCCGGGGCAAAAAGCCTAATTACTCTAAACATTTTTCCAGTATTAGTATTCCTTGTACAGCACACTATGATCTATTTTATTTAAAGGTATTAACACCACTTCAGAGAAACTATGTTACCTTGGTAAATGTGACTGCAACAGGCCGTAGCCAATCCATGTGCTCCATTGAGCTGCATGCATTGCTTGCTGGCCACCCTCCTTGGAAAATGTGTGGACAGCACTGATCAACTTTTGATCAAAGGTTCTGCTGACTGGTGAACTCAGGCAGTGAGAAATTCCTAACCATCTGCCACGGCAGATACAATCACAAGCTTCTGTTTGAGTACATTTATATTTGATTTAAAATATGCAAATGCAAGTTGATAAGTAATATAAAGTGTCAGTGAAGCACCACCATTTTGGCCTCCCTTAACATGCACACATGGTATTTTGCCACCAGGTATTTTGTTAGCTGGTAACAAGGACCATACAGAGTCACCAGTATATTTGCAATCACATTGTTTTCAGTGCATTTTGTTCTCTGAAACCAAGCTGTCCTAGAAAACTGTAACTGGGAGTTGCTCTGTTTGGGAAATTCTTCTGACAACTTCTTTCTCTTCCCCTCCTCATCGTGAAGGAACAGTAGGAGACAGCAGGGAGGAGGAAAAGCCCTGGATTTCAGCTACTGAAGCCAACACACTGAGAAGTCACCAGAAATTGATGGGAGGAACTTTGTTGCAAGTGTTCACTGAACGTGAACATTTTTGGAAATTCACCTGAGTACAAGTTCTCCAACATGTTCAGGTTGCTCTTAAAGGTCAAACTCACACTGTGTGAAACCTCAGAGAAGAGAAAAAAGCACTACACAAAACAACCAATCCTGCTCACTGGCCCCTCCAGGTACCCCCAGATCAGAGGGACACTGGCAAAGGAGCACAGAGCAGCTCACACTGTTGTGGCCGTGCAGTCAGCTGTCAGCAAGGGAGGAGTAAAGCAAAATTTTTCTCTTTTTCCCTGCCAATGCATCTGGTTTGCTGCCAAGGGCAAGCAGTCCCCTTACCAGTTTGCCTAGAAATATTTACGTAACTAAATACAAGATCCTTCTATCGATTCAGACACAATTTCTATGGGGAGTGAGGCATTGTGCTTCACAAGACTGTTGCATACCTTACTTCTAATTTAACTATTTGGTTTGATGTCAAACATACAGCATTTCTGGTCAAACCCAAACCCGCCTCCTTTTCATACGATCAGTGTGCAAAAATATTGAATTCATAAAATGAGGCGTAATCGACCCAGTATCACAGTATCAAAGCAGTGCTATACATTAATATTCAGACACACAGTTCCCCCTCTTATTCACATGAGGATCCCCAAAATATCAGTTGCTTTACAGCATGCTTGACAGCCATAAGCTGCAGCTGTGCTGCATTGAAAATTGGCAATGCTGACGTTAAACTGAAGGACCTTTTTGAAGTAATGACAAAGGCACTGATTGCCTTCTTCCAAAGAGAGGGATATTATTTTTCCTTTTTAAATTTTAATATAGGAGAATGAAGCCTGGAAACACACAAGTGGGGTTGCCCAAAGTCCTGAGTACAGCCCCTAATTTATAAAGGTCTAACACCTCTCCAGTCCTGCCCATCTCCCTTCCAAATACTGCCTCCTCTCTTTGAGACACATCTGCTTTCACATTACCTGTCAACTCCCTCCACTAAATTCAGTGGATTCTGCACAACCTTCGAGTTTGAGCTGTTGCATTTTAGTTGCTTGTAGGGCAATAACAGCAAAGTGGACAGACCAGCCATATCCAGTTTTCACAAACTGCTGACCACAGCAGCACTAATAAGGATCTAATGGTATTGGGTGTACAAAGAATACTTTCACTGCAACCAAAAAAATAAATAATAAATCGGTGATGGAAAAATATACTACAGACTACTTGGCAGAACTGTCTCTTCTCATAACTGCGATTTATACCAACTGAGCTTTGAAATACCTGAACAGTTGAGTGTGATGAGACAAATATCTAGGAGATGCTTTTTAGAGTTGCATTCCTTGCTCATTCTTAACAATGAGCTGGCATTACTGCATTCACAAACAGCGATTCATTCAATTCTAATGTCAAAGAGGAAAGACCTTCTGAAATAGCCTGCAAGTTTCCTACTGTATGCAGTATTTATCCTATTTATGCAGATATTTAAAGAAAATTAACCACTACACTCATTTGGAAGTACAAAATATACTTTGCATTTTGACTGGGATTACAGATTATATACCTTGTCCTCATTATACTGCACAGCATGAGCTCTGGCACCTGGGTGAAATCACTGAAGCTAAGTAGTGCTAAGTCCTTTACTTAAAGAGGTTAAAAGTGGCTCCTTCAAGAAGGAGAATGCTACTGCATGGGTTTAAAGGAATAGTTCATTTCTACAGATGTCCCACCCTTCATAGGGGACAGTTATGCTCAATGCAGTTTTAAGAACTGCAAAAAATACCCTGAGCCTTAAATTTTGGCTCCCTTGCTAGTGCCTTCGAAAAGGGAAAGGTCTTTGCTAACAATGACTCCTCTATGACTCCAGAATGTAAAGAGCGGTTGTTTACTTTGCAACACAGTAACACTTTTATCACTTCTGTCCCCTGAGGGAAATAATACTTCTTCCTAACTACACAATGCTGGACAATTACAAACCTAGATTCTGAATGGCCAGCACTTAAGTGCAATTATGACATTTTATCACCCCAATATTATGCAGAAGACTTATGAATAACAAAACCACACACCACACTCAGACATATACAGACACATTCTGTATGCAAACAGGAGTGCATTTGAACTCAGAAGAAAGAATAAGCTTCTTGCTGATGTATTTTTCTTCCTCCTCTTAAGAAAATGAAATGGAGATTTCACTGCCACCAGCATCACATTAAGATGCTGGAAAATATTAATTGTGCAATGTGTCTAAGTAACTAACATAGATCTTAGAAATAAGTGCAATTAATTCGGCAGAAAATAGCAAAGAATGTTTTTAATTACTTAACCATGCTTTTTACAAACAAAAAAATTCAGCTAAAAAATGTCTCTATTACACGCACAATCAACACGTGAAGTACACAAAACCAGTCAAATGGACTCCAGCTTTTAGTTTAGCAATGGCTTGATTAATACCTCCTAAAAATACATGCAACTTCATCATTATCTATTCTGACTACTCATTATTTCATTTTGTAATTTTTTTTCTAATTAGCACCATATTTTATTAGCATGCTTATATAACGTATTAAAATATGTACGTACCAAAATTTAAGTCCACGGGGACTGCTAAGTGCAATAATCAAAGGTGACTTTTGCCTGTAAAAGCCCTTTCCTGTGGTTATCTCAGTGCAGTCGGAAGGGATATTTCAGCACCATAAGAAACAGATTTGCAGTTAGGCTCAGTTTTTTCTTCAGTTAAAGTGCATTAAATCTTGTTGGCAAAATTGCCCAGATCGTAGAATTCGACATCACTATAAGTCAGTGTGTTACATTACAGATCTTCTTAACATATGATTAAAATGGCATGGAAAGTTTGGCTTTAAAAAAAAAAATAAAAAAAATGCAGTGGGAAGAGGAGACAGGTGCTTGCTTCTTTAAATCCACATTCAGAGAAGAGAGGGTACAGATAATGGGAGGGTATAAACAACACCCTGCTTTGAGGTCCAGCAGAGGAGAAACGGGATGATTTTTACCCACTTTACAACATAGAAGATTACAGCACCACCATATGCACTAACACTGAGATTTCTAAGGTGCCTCATTTGAATATGTTCTGTGGAGACAAAAAGAAAGGAGTATAAGGAATGGAAAGCATCCTATCCAAATGGCTTCTTGCAGCAGGAAAGACGCTCTCTCATTGCCACTTAGATACGGAAGGTCTGAGGCAGTCTAGCTCGTGGCATCATCTCTCTCTCTCTCCCCCTCCTTCCCGTGACTACAGGCAGGCTTGCTCTCTCCAGCTGCCTTAGTCAGTTGATGCTGCTTTTGATTAATCAGGGATTCTCAAACAAAGAGCAAGCCTACCTTCGAGTGCCAGCAGGGCTGTGGGGCTCCTCTCCCGCCGCAACACTCGGGCTGCCCCGGCCCCCCGCGCAGCCAGCATCCTAGCACCTCGGACAGCGGCCGCTCCCCCGCGCCAGGCCCATCGGGCGGGCGGGCGGGGCGGCGGCGGCGGGGCCGCGCCGGGAGCAGGAGCGCGGCAGCAGGAGCGCGGCAGCGGCGTCGGTTCTCGGTTCCGGGGGCTCGGGCGCTGGCAGAGCCGCCCAGCTAGAGCAAGGCAACAGTCTCTCTTTTAGCTCCACTGCACCGAAGACTGATTAGCACGTAATCCAGTGGGGGGAGAAAAATAAATAAATCTGCATGAACAGCACTGTACATCACATTTAGTCTATAGGTAGGAAAGAATATGAAACAACGCCCTTCCCCCCTCCTTCTCCCTTCCTAAAAAAAGAAACTGTTCTTCTACGAAGAATGTGTAAGTTAACCTTTAGCCCACGTTATGGCTCAAGGAAATGAGCGGCCACTTAAAAGGAACATCTAAAGCTCTGTTTGATACCTCATAGTGATGTATCTTTTGCACTCACCCTCACTGAAAGCAGTGCAAGGCACACAATTACTGCTGACGCAGGGTAGCTGCTGCTAAGGGAAAGAGGGGTGGAGCTTCCTAACCTCATCAAAACAACCTCCCACCACCTGCTCCCAGTGCTCGGGAACAAAACTGTGCTACTTGGACAGAGCAGCGTTTACACTGGTTTACTTAGATCGATATCTGCACCCTGGAAATAAGCATTTGGCCGAAAAACATTCAGGGTACAACTACGCAGTCTTGTGCTGATCCAGAATTTGTGAATGTAATGGTTTGGGAGAAAACATTCCCTTCTTTCTGAACTGGATCAATCTGTGGTGGTGCTCCTCCTCACAGAAGATGTGCAGTTTTGCTTTCTCTCCCCTAAACCTGCAGTCTGGACACAAAAGCAAAAGCATTCGCTGCCTGCACAGAAGCCAGTCAGCAGGGAGAGGTCTGAGTGTGCACAGAATGCATTACCCCATTGTTCAGTGCCATTTCATTCTTTCTCCTTTCTTAACTTACAGGTATATTTTTCTCTCACATAAAATACTGGTTTTGATGTTACAGTAAGAGTTGAATTTATTTCTAAAAGTAATAACAGAAATTAGAATAAAATGCTTCCAAAGTAATGCAAGCACACATGCAAAGCAGTGCTAGTACAGAAATAAGACCTCACCTATATAATGCAGGAGCACTTCCTGCAGATTTATTACCCCTGACTGTAATATCCCAATTACCTTCCATTCAAGAGCACTCAGGATAGCCACCTAGACACAATGGAAAACGGTGACCTCCAATGGTGACCAATACTAACACTGGAACTGTAGCCTGAAAAAAACTTGCTCCTAAAAGTCTCTCTCAAATTCACTAGTAACTCATTCACTGTAGTAGTGCACATCCCAGCACACTTCTTGCAACCCTGTGAAGGATTGTGAAGGGCAGTGAAACTTCCATGTAACATCTCCAAGAGACCATTTCAAAAGGATGCTTTATGAGCTACAAAGAGAGCCCAGAGGCTAGCCTACAGCTCTGCTTCTGATTAACTTCCTTGAAGGATACCTTAAGAGCAGCTGTGACTGTGAAGTAATTGAGGAATTAGATTTTCATCAGATGGAGATTCCTGTCACATAGCACTCTCTTCTTTCCAATACTCTTCCAGAATTAAAGACCTTCCTTATCTCTGCCCCAAGCCATGCACCAGAACCAGACAAATTGCCAAGTCAGATTTCTTTCTGTGTTACTTTCAAAAGATATCATTGTAAAGTCATTACAGAGTAACTCAAAGGACTACTAATTTTAAATCCACAAGTGTGAAATACTTGGCTGTGTCTTCACCACATGGTTTATCCCAGTAAATGAGCTCACTCCACTGCAATCATCTTCCAGACTACTTATGTTGTACCTTTTGGCAGATTCCATATCTTACCATTCTTGCACCAAGGTTCCTAGGGACCTATCCCTATCCCCATCAGCTCTTGAAAGAAATGTCCACTTTTCCTTCCACTAGCACTGTGGGAAGGGCACGTGGGACTATCATGACCTCTACAAGGCTAGCAGTTCCATTCTTGGATAAAGCACACACCTCCCATCTGCCTCCACAGCAGAGATCATCAACCAGGAAAAAGCACCTGCAGAATCAATCATGGGACTTTCTGCATGGATGGCAGAAGACCTGGATCAAAACTCAGAAAACCTGCATTGTGGTTCCCCCCCCACCCCCCCCAAGTTTCTTACAGAACAGGGCTATGATCATCTTTAAACATGTTTAATGACAACCATAATGAACGCATGACTGGCTTTCACTCCTTAATTTTACAAGACCTAACCAGTACAAATACATGCACCTCCACAAAATTACTACCTATGTTCTGCTGTGGCAGAGGTCTAGATTTGGCTTCCTGGTTTCCAGACAGCTAGCAGTGGAGAAACGTTCATTTCTTACAGTAGCTGCCAATCTCCAGTCCCCATCTCCTTTGCTCCACCTCCTTCCCAGAGGTTACAACCACATAGAAGCCTGGCAGATGTACTTGTGCTAGGCTTCATTACACAGCACACAGATGAACCCATTTTTTTATGTGTATGTACACACCTACACATACATATATAATATAAATACACATAAAGACAGGAAGAGATGTCACTTGACCTGTGGTTGACATTTGCACAATGGGCAAAGAGAAGAGGAGCAATCTGCTGTGGAAAGGCACACTGGCAACTACTCAGTCTTAGAATAGTTGTGGAATACCACAACCTCTGCCTGGCCATGCTGTAAATAGGCTGGAAGCATACACTATATAATGGGGAGAAGGCAGACCTCTGCAGAAGGCTGCTTTGCCAAGGGGATGTCAAGGCCTTTCAGGCTCAGAGAAAAGTGGATTTGCAAGGCCTGAAGACTGCAGGCAGCAGAGAGACATAGGGCTTTCAGAACGAAGGGAATATTCATTTAAGATGCTAACTGAGCACTTAGTGATTCACAAAGGCTGTCTGCCAGTCCCTTAAGTAAGGGAAGCTTGAGGACAAATGGATTAGAGTTCAGTGCTGTTGACTTAGTTTCTGCTTCGTTGGTGAACAGCAGAAGGCTCTCCAAGAAAACAAAATACTGTTTCCAGATCTGAAACTGGTAATACCTGACTTGATGCAGGGACCTTTATGTAATTATTTACATTTATGAGGGTCAAAAAGGACAGGTTTCTTCACTTTTGCCCTGGTTTTGGCTGGGATAGTGTTGTTTTTCTTCATAGTAGCTAGCAGGGGGTGTTTTTTGGATTTATACTGGAAACTCTTGATAATACAGGGAATGTTTCAGTTATTGCAGAGCAGACTTTTCTGCTTCTCATACCATCCCACCAGTGAGAAGACTTGGGGAGCACAGTAAGTTGAGAAGGGATACAGCTGGGACAGCTGATGTCACGTTCAGCTGTCATGTTCAGCAATGAAAGCAGGCAGAAGGAAGGGCAATGTTGGGAAGGCAAAATGTCGTAACTCCCAAGTTACTATTACTGTCTCCTGTTTTCCTGGAGATGGTTGAATGCCTGCCTGCCAATGGGAAGTGGTGCATGAATTCCTTGTTTTGTGTTGCTTGTGTGCATGGCTTTTGCTTTAATTAAACTGTGTTTCAACTAGGAGTTTTCTTTTACTCTTCCAATTCTCTCCGCCATCCCCTGTGAGGGGAGTGAGTGAGCAGCTGCGTGGGGCTTCACTGCAAGCTGGGGTTAAACCATGACAACTTTAAATGTACCACCCATCAGCTTCTCCTGAGAAGGAAGTCCCATGGCACAGATGAAGAGTTCCATGAATGGAGACTGTGTAAGATGTAAACCTCCTGAAACTGCAACCAGAAACAAAAGACTTAAACCTGGAAAGTCCTAACACCTAACTGAGTGTGGTTTGAACCTACACACCTGTACCCAAACTCTGCCTCTCAGTGAACGGGAGAGAGAAGCTGCTGAGTAAGACCTGACAGTCAGATTTTGCCAAAACCCAAGGCTTACCAGGGCAGACTCATCATGGAGGAAAACCTAGGAGTTGTCAGTTTACTTGCACTTCCAAATACAAGGCCACCAAGATGCTGATTTCGGCTCCTTAGCATGTTCATTGCCTAAGCTAAGTTAAACTTGGTTTGCTCATTTCTCCTTTACCCTGCCTCCTTAGCTTCAATTACTCTTTCCTTCCTCCTGTGTGCTCAGTCTGATCTCTGGATCCATCTCTTAGCCTAGGCCTTGCTACTACCCCTTGACCTTTCCAGCAGCTGCATTTGGCATTTTTCTTACTCCAAAACCTGGTATCTGGTTATAATTAGTCCCCATTGTTAGGACCAAGTTGACTGTCTTAATTTCATGATAAATCAGTCATTTCTTTATAGACACTATCATTCTCATACGAGCAAGGCAAGTGAAATTTTCTATGTCAATCTTTCCTGTGCTGCATCCTAAGTCTTAGCAATCACTGTGCCATGCCTTTAGTACCGAATTGTGCATGTGTGAAAGAAGCTACTTAGATTTTTATTTGTATTTATATCTGACTTAATAAATATTTTAAAACAGCAGTCGGTTAACTCAACATAAATGGATAGAAGACTACATCGAAAACCAAGCACAATGCTCACTGTAACCTTGACCTTAAGCAACTTTTTTTCAGATTTGGTTATTATCCATGTGTGATTATGGTAAGTAAAGTGAAAACCTAAGGATCTATTTCAACATGATATGCTGAAGTACTAAATTGAGCCTTAGAGACCACTTTTCCTAAATTACTTCCTTCCATGCCCCAGATAAGGGGAAAAGACACTCATGTTAAAGCTTAAGTGTTGTTAAAACCATGGAAGTTGCGCAGTCACTCCTCCTCTCAGCCACATTTGGCTTCTTTTGCCCACAACCTCTTCCTCCTCACACACACAGTGCTGCCATGGCAAGTAAAACTTTACTCCTCCTGTTACAGGAAGAGTAAAGGAAGCTCTCATAGCTTCACCTTAGCATTTCTTTCTGTTATTTCACATCCCTCTGTAGCACCCTTTCACTTCCCTGCAGTACACAATCTCTATGCCTCCCAGCAACTGGCTATCCACAGCCATCACACAGACTCCTCAGAGGGCTGAGGAGGATTCTTCTAAAGGTACAACAGTAGAGGGGTCCCCAGTCACATAAAAAGCCAATTAAAGTTAAATGTTTAACTGCCACCTGTGCCTTTTAAGAAAAATCTCTTCATTTTCCCCAGTGATCTTTTTTTTTCACATGGGACCAATTTTGCTGTTATTGCTTAGGCAAAATTCCCATTGAAGTCCACAGGGAACTTTGCCTGAATACAAAATGTGGAGCTAAACCCTGCGCTTATTTGCATAGACCACAAATCACAAAGATCATGTCCTGATGCAAGTGATTTATCCTACATGACAGCTTGTGCACGTGGGCTATTTTTAACCATGATTTGTTGCAAAATATTTCATGATATTTACCATTCAAAAAAGAGTCAATTGATTCTCTTTTCTTAAACTGGATTAAATTGAAAGATTCTGGCTGCTTTCCAAAGCCATTAATTACTAAATGGTACATTTTCAACAGAAATGTTAAGCTATATGTAGTTCTTCTGGAGCCAGTTAGCTCCTAGCTAAAATCAATTAAAACTGGTAAAGATACATTTCTATGGTCAGGTCCCAAATATAGACATCTGTATTTATAGCATAGTGGATGCTGGCAAAATCCTCCAACACAGATGCAGTTGTATGAGTAAAACTGTGCTTTTACTGTTTAGCTCATACAGGGGCAGCAGGTAGTTTTATTATTCCAGGATAAACCCAGCTGTGTCAGTATGGTTGCACTCATACTATGCTCTGTTTCTGCTATAGTAGCCTCAATTTTCTAGCCCCAAAGCAGCACGCTTTATCCTATGCAGCATAAAGGCAAGTCCAGTTTAACCTTGCTTGTTACCCCCCCTGCTCTGCTCTCATTCCCATTTGTGTGGCCTTGCAGGGAACTGGGTCATGGAAATGATCCAGAACAGAAATAATTCTGGGTGGGAATGAGGGAGAATCCAACAAAAACAAAGAAGAGGGTGTTCTTTTCAACCAAATCACTTCCTTGAACTAGACAATACAGAGGGCACTTCACAGCGTGAGAACAGTACCCCTGCCAAAGTGGTCAGTGACTTCTACAGTGAAAAGTCCTTATGCTACAGACACTACCGGTGTGCTTAAGCTTCTACCTGAATGACTTCAGTGCCCAAGCAGCACACATGCCAAAGCTGTTGCACTGAGACTTGGCCTGCTGAAGCCTGCAGGAGCAACAAAAATCCTGCAAGCAGTTGGAAGCTGACAGGCAGTCCTCCCTGCCCTAGAAACTCCACAACTGCTCTGGCAAGAACATGCAACCACTCCAGTACTTGAAGGCAGACAGGGAAGTGTACGTACACAGTATGCAAATGTAACCAAGATTATAAGTTGCAAAGTGCTCTACCAGAGTACCTGATGATCTCCAAGCATTTCAAATTGTGTAAGCCAGCACTGCAGATAAAAAAAAACAAAACACCACCACCAGAATCAAGAATACAGCTCTGCTTTCTTTCCACCCTCAGCTATTCCTCTTGCCCTGTGCTGGCACAAATGCCTCTTGGCCGTGTGGTGAAACAGATTGGGAAACTGATCAAGCTAAGAACTAGCCTGGGATTTTGGCACCACATGGATGTTATTATTTGTGAGAGGACCACCCTGCCTATGCAATCAGTGTGCAGCAGAGACCCAGCACAGCCCAGCAGATGGAAGGCAGGCCAGTTGGGTCTCATTCAGGAGCAGCCAAGTTCTTGCTTTCATCTGAGCTACTTAGACTCAGCTGTGAACAAGGACCTCCAGTGAGCCCCACGGCATTTTTGACCTCTGCAAAAAATTGCCTGGAAGCCCACAGAGCACAAGATCTGTAAAAGCAGACCATGATGAGGTCTAGAGCAAGAGGTGTGGAATAGGAGTTGAGAAGCTTTCTTGAAACTTGAAGTGTCCTATCTGCAGTCATTAATATAATCTGCATTTTTTTTTTTTTCCAGCACTACAGCTCAGTCACTCCCATCTAGTCAGGAAATGGGCAAAGAAGGGAAAAGTCAGAGTTGCTCACTTTCACCCAAAAAAGCATCTAGACCACTAAAAGGCATGGGAAATACAGACAGACAGGAAAGAGTCGAAGAAGAAATTGTAGTTTGTACTGAAGGACTAAAAAATTCCTCTATTAAATAATGTGGTTGTGTGTACATTAAGACAGCATTTAAGAGTCAACTGTGGTTGTTGCCTAAATTCTTTAAGGCGTTAACTTGATAAAGAAACCGAAGGATGCTATTTGTTCAGTAAAGTGTACTTAAGCTTTATAAACAACACATAATGTATCTTTCAAATATGCTTCTTTTCAATACTTAATAAAAATCCACATGATGGATTTGTTGCTACATACTTCAGGACAGAAGGGAAAATGAAGTTTGGACAAAAAGCTCTAGACCCCTAGAGAGAGAATGCACAGCTCAGTGCAGGCAAGCAAAAAAAATGCAAGGAAGGCTACCTCACGCCAAAGACTAGATGGGCACAGCAGAAAAGAAGAAAATAAGGGCATGCATGTGTATTTACTTCTTCATTTGCTGTTCCTAATGAAACTAAGACTGTATCATTAACTCTAGAGTTGAAGAAACAGTGACCTTTGGTGGAAGAGGAAGGCTTCATATGAGAGATTTTAAGCAGTGAGGGAAGCTAGTTACCTTGTCCTGTTCATATCATCTAAATCAGCAAGTCATGCTTAGGGAGGCAGTAAGGTACTGGCTATACTCTAAGCTTCCTTATGGTCCATAGGAAGCCAGTGTTAGGAGGTCATCAGCCCCTTAGCTCAATCCAAGCATGGAGAGCTGTGGGCAGAGATAATGGAGACTGTCGTGCAGTCAAAGTCACTGCCAGCAGCTTGCCACGGCAGCATGTGGCCAGGTTCCCCCAGCCCTCATTAGCTGCTCTTGGCTGAAACCATATGCAATGATCCAAGATTAAAAAGCATGAGGGGAAGACTGGAAGGCTGGTGACAAGGTGAGAGGTAATATGGTATCCTTGGTTCACATCAGCTACCCAGTTCCTCTGGTCATACACCATCCAGGCTCCCATGAGGACGACACGGAACAAAAGTCAAATTTGTTCCCATCCATGTAGGGACACATTTTAGGCATGTGGACATGGGCAAAAAGAAAGAGCAGTAGCTTCTCTCTTACATTCAGAAAATCCTCATCTCTACAGACAAGAGTTGACGCAACAACACTTAAATTGTGATAAACACCTTGATCAATGTGAGCTATTTTTCCCATGCTCAGATATAAAGCATTTAAAAAAAGAGAAATTCTTGTAATTACTATGGAAACAATAATTTCCTGCAGGCAGTCCCTTAAATAAACTCTCAGGAAAACCCGTTTTCCCCACAGCTGTAGCTGGCTAATCATCATACGTCAGTTAACATATTTCTGGCTTTCCCTCCTGCTTATTGTCTTGGAGAAAATATTGTGATCCTTTATATTCTTTCAATATAATAGTCTTTCCTATCAGTGGATGAGCTCAAATTGCCACCACTCAGGAAGAAAGGAATGCAAATGAGGAATACCAATTAACCCCTTTACAATTAAAAATATCTCTATCTATTATAGCACCCATTAGTGATACTCTAGTTAATGGTCTGTCAACATTTCCATTAGACCTTTTCCCCTGCTCCCTCACAGAACTAAATCCTAGCTAATCACCTTGAATATACCTCTATGGATTTACACAATACATATACAGAGCTCAAATGAGGCAAAATATAGATTTCTCTGTTATCTGGAACCATTACATTCACCTAAGTACCTGTTTTCTAATGTATCATTCTAATTACTCTGTACTCCAAATATGCTGAATAATTTTTCAGGCTGCTTTTTTTTTTCAGTGTTACAAATACTTCATGCACCAAAACCCCACAAGTAATTGCAAAGACCTGTCCTTGAATATACACTGTGAAAAATGTAGAGTAAAGCTTAGCTCACAGCAGATTCCTTTTGCCCAATACACTGCACATAATACCACCCTCTTTTTTTTCACACTAGACATGAGACAGTAGGTTACATTTGGTGCCATGTACTGTAATACCTAGAAATGACAGGGTGAAGTAAGGACAAAGCTTCAGCCTTAATAGCTTAAGATCCCCTGACTTCCTTATGGTCAAACCACATTCTCCACACTATGGTAATGTTCTTTTTTGTATGTCAAATTCATTGCAAATATACCACATTCATATATATTGCATATGTTGGTCCTTTCAACTCTCAAAATACACTTAAGCATTTTACAGTATGTTCATCACCAACCATCCTCAGCTACTAAGTGCTGGCATACCAGAGAGAATAACAAGTTTGCAACCAATACCCAGAAGGAAAAAGGGAAAGGTGTACAACATAGAATGACAGAATGGTCAGTGTCGGAAAGGAACATATGATCATCTAGTTCCAGCCCCCTGACATGGGCAGGGACACCTCCCACTAGACCAGGTTGCTGAAGGCCACATCCAGCCTGGTGTTGAACACTGCCAGGGATGAAGCATCCACAGTTTCTTTGGGCAACTTGTTCCAGTGCCTCACAACTCTCACAGTAAGGAACTTCTTCCTTATACCTAACTTAACTTCCCCTTTTTAAGTTGAAACCCGTTACCCCTTGTCCTGTCATTACAGTTCCTGATGAAGGGTCCCTCTCCAGCATCCTTGTAGGTCCCCTTCAGATACTCAAAGGCTGCTCTGAGATCTCCATTCAGCCTTTTCTTCTCCAGGCAGAATCCTAAACTATAGTTTAACACTTATTTTCACCGCAAGATTTCTCAGTAAATTTACAATTATATTGTTGGGTATATACATGCACCTGGGCACCATTTTGAATACTGAGCTTGCACACAGCAATTCAGCTATAACAGGTTTCCCTGGCTTGTTTATAACCCTGAAACAGAGGATCTGTTGCTCTAATGGACACTAATAAACACATCTTCTACGCAAGCTACCTTTCAGAAACAAAATCTGTACTCTGCTTACCAGAGGTGTTTAACACAGTATGACTGGCTTTTGTTTGCAATTACTGTTTCTAAACTCTAGTTAGAGCAACTGAAAATGACTTGCATATTACGTATTACAGCTGATAAAATACTGGTTGGAAAAGCTATGCTTTTTATACTTCATCTGTAGTCATACAAACCATTCCCCCACATACATAAGTGCTAGAAATACTGATTTTTGGCAGCCCTGCAAGCATGTCTTTAGTTTTGGAGACTGGCTGAATTTACAGTACCCTGAATTCATGAGGCTACTTCAGTTCATGAAGTCAGAAACAGGACAGCTTATAAGATCAGGTCTTTCATACATTGTAATATCAATTTTGCTCAATCTGTAGATTTCCATTATCTGTGGCATATCTTCAACATTAAAGTGTTTTTCTGTATCATCTGAACTGCACCAAATATGTAGTAAACTAATCCCACCCAGGAAATTATAAGTGACAGTGCAATGGAAGTTACAGTTCACTTTTTCCAATACGAAACTCCTGTAAAACTGAATATCCTCAGTTTCCTGAAAAATAGGTATGACACCACTGAAGGACAACCAGAGTTACATCTTTGCGTAAAACAATTATCTGCCTGTGAACAGCCCTGAAACACCAACTACCTTTTCCCAGCTATACCAATAAAAGAAAAAAAATTAAAAAAATCATAAATACTCAACATTACACATAATATCAATAATTAATGTTTCATGGTAAGTGTGAGAAATACACTGAACAATCCTCTCTGCCTTGAGTTTACACATTAAAGGTCAATTACGCTTATTTTCTGTAAATATTTCAAAGTAAAAAACAACCAAAAGACTAAGACACAGGCTGAGGAAGGAGGACAGCTGGGAAGGAAAAACAGAAAAGTAAAAAGAAGTGCATAGACCCAACAATAAACTCTGAACAAGATGGAGCCTTTTCTCCCTCTGCTATCAGAGGCATTTTGTTGCGAGTGTGGATGAGTAAAATGCAGGCAGCATGAAAAGTAAAAGTTTGATGGAACTGCTGTTACATATCCAGCTATGAAGAAACTGCAACACAACCTTATTATGAGAACAAGTCAAAGGACAATAGATAGGGCTTTGAGCAGCCTAGGCTAGTGGAAAGTGACCCTGACCATGATAGGGGGGTTGGAACTAGATGAGCTTTAATGTCCCTTCCAACACAAACCATTCGCTATGACAAGTGGAGGTTAAGGGGTACCAAACAGAATCAGATCAAGGAGATGGGATTCTGTATAGGAAACTTGTTAAGTAGGAAATGGCATCCAACATTCTCAGAAGGAGCATACTAGGAGGCAGGAAATGGAATGCAGAGTTTATAATACTGCATGCTTGACTCAGTTTTCCCACTTTTCTTGATATGCAACTTGTAAAAGGAATGAATAGATTCAGGAGAGGAGGCTGGTAAAGCACAATTTAGAGTATTTATTGACTTGAGATGGAACAGATGACCCCACAGCAAAATAGATCCTGTTACCTAAAGACAGCAACAAGACATTTCAAAGACTAAATATTAACCTTAAATAATTAATCCTTTCTGTAATCCGTGGGGAAGAGGATCAAAAGGAGCTGTATGAAGCACACTTGTGGTTTGTCTGAACTTATTTCTGGTTTCTAAGATCCAAAATAGAATCTTTTTTGAAAGCCAGACAGTCACCCTCATGAAAGAAATTACAGATCAGCACATTTCCCCAACATGTTTTGGCTTCCCTGAATCAACATTTTCCAAATGAAAAAGCATTTAATTAAAACTGCAATCAGATCCAACTTAAGCGATGCACAGGAAGCCAGGAAAATCTCCTGAGCAGCGGAAAGCCACATCCAAGGGACAGCTTTCACTTAAAATAAAGATGGTGACAGTGGAGCAGTGGCAGAAATTACAGGCATTTCTGAGATACTTTTCTCAGGTGCCATTAAATATATTGGCCTATTAAGAAATCAAAACCAACGATTACATAGGCAGCACAGCCCAAAAATTAGCAATATTTCATCCTTTTATTATCTAAACATTCAAATCCTTTCAAAACAGATGGCATTGCAGGCCTCTACCTACAGATCTACACAGATCAGTTCTGGTTCAGCACTCAGACCATGCTTCAAATAACGGAAATTTCAGCCTCACACATTTTGCAGGAATATAATCACTGTTTTTTCCTCCATTATCAGAAGAATCTCAGTACTATTTCAAGGCTT